ATACTTGTGGTAATATGTTGTTAGAGTTTAAAGTGGGAGGAGATTCTAAAGTGTCGGTTGGTAGTTCTTCTATTAGTGGGCTAAGACTAAAGGGTCGTAGGTAGACTTGTTTATTGACATAAAAGAGGATATCATCTCTCGTTATGCCTAGGACGATGCAACAAGAAAATTGATGTGGATAGTGGTAAATGAGGACCCATTAACTCCTAAGACTGTAGATATGTTTGATTCTTTGAGAGTTGATCGTAGGATCTGACTACATGGTGAGTAAACTTGGTGATGGTTTGGTTTCTTGTGATCCCTAACTAGTGATTAAGATTTCTGACCACCTAGTGCCTTGGGATGGAAGAATTTCTAATGTTATGGATGAGATTGAGGGACTTATACAAATTTAGAAAGTACATTTATTAAGAAAAATGGTTTATCTTGAACCACACAAAGTTTTATAGCCTATTTTAAGAGATAGTATGTGAATGTTTGTGCATCTCGCAAGTTAAAATTTTGACAAATATGTGTGGTGAAAAAGATATGTCATTGTTATTAACTATGCAGTAATAATTTTTACAGTTAGTTGATACATAAAAATGTAACTATTTTGAAAATGTAACTATTTTGAAAAATGTGATAAGATAGACATATATTACAATCACATTATTCAGTAGCATCTACATACATACTTACATATAAATAAAATTAAATATAATTCTTGATACTATTGATTTTTAACTATTGTTAGGAATAATTAATTTAAAAACTATTTATTTGAACATTTTTTAACTTCAATCATGATGACTATATAAAATATCAATCATTGTATTTAAGGTAATTTAATGTAATGTAATTTATAATTTTAAGTTATTATACATTATTATTATTATTGTTAATAAAATTTCAAAATAGCTTATTATTATTACAGAACTATATATGACTTATAAAACTAGGATATTATTATTAAAAAGTTGCACAAAACTAAAATCTTAGGTAGAAATTTTATTTTCGTTAAAACTATATTACATTAAAGAAACATGTATCGTTATGATTAGTTAATTTAATATATATATATATATATATATATATATATATATATATATATATATATATATATATATATATATATATATATATATATTGATATGTTTTAATTTCAATCATGATGGTTTTGTTTTTAAGATAATGTAATATAATTTATAACTTTATATTACTATATATTATTAAAATCGTTAATTAATTTTATAAATGACTTATTATCATTAAGAGTTATATATGTATTTTAAAACCACATATTATAATATTATAATGTCTCCCTTATATTAATAATATAATCATATAATGTCTAGCATTATATTACGTTGGAACATTCAACAAAAGTAATAATATGTTATTTCTATCTTTTTGAATTTTATTTTATAACTTATTTTTATATATTTGTTTCAAAGTAAAGTTTCGAACTATATAGTACATATTTCTTATAAAACCATTATATAATAATGAGTGATGAGTGTTGCGATATGAGCTTTGGACATAACATTATCATTTGATGATTCTGGTTTCAAACATGTAATCATAGCAATTAAGAGATATCTTCGGTCAACGTTTGGGAGGTGGTCCTGAGACGAAGCTCCAACGGTTAAGTTACTATGTGTTCGAAAATAAGGTGATTAGAGTTTTGGATAGAGAGAAGGTGATCCCTTCTTTTGGAGAAGAAGAGTCCTTTTATATTTGTTCTTCTCAACACATGATCTCAATGGTGTCCTTTGTTCCGTCTAGGCCAAAGGATGTGGAATCATTCACCACTAGTGGTTATATGCTATTGGTGTAGAAGAAACATAAAACAACGCCATGAGTGTTACACGTGTCGCTCTAAGAAACGACCAGCTGTGTTTTGTCTTATTATAGATCGTAGATTGTCGTCAGGGATTGTGTTTTGTCTTATTATAGATCGTATATTGTCGTCAAGGATTGGACCTGGGCACGAGGGCGCTGAGGACGAGGGTCCTAGCGCGAGGGCGATGGCCCTAAGACAGATTGCGATTGTTAGCTAGGTAGTCCTAAAGATAACACTTATGTTATCTTTAACGTATTCCTAATGGACATGTTAACAAGTCCCCTAGGCTAGTAGACATCAGCGTTGGTCTAACATAGCTGAGTTGTTCTAACTTAGATCAAGATACGTGTTCGCCGAAGACGGTTTCTGACGTCCGCTGATGTGTCGGAGCCGTCAGTGCAGGCGGTTTCATCATGGTAACTGTTCGATATTCCCGCTTCGCATTTAAAACTTCCCTTATCAAGGACAGTTTTACTCTTTACGTTTCCAATTCTTCAAATGCTTCTATCTTTTTTTTGCTTACCATCCCTTCCATCGTGTTCTTGCTTCAAGAGATAATGGCAATGAAATTATCCGGAATCGAGCCAACACAAGCGAGTTCGAGGCCTTGCAAACCCGGTTCGACTTCTTGCCTCAACACAGGGTGTAAAATCCCAGGAAAGGGGCAACCATCTCTCGTCTACCGGAGGGTAAGGTCGGAATCCCCATTCTGATCTTCGAGGCAGGTATGAGGTTGCTGACAACTGATTTTTTTGACGAGATTGTGGGCTTTGAATTGGAATGTCGATCCCTCAATGTGCTACCTCTGGACTTTCAAAGCCTATTTCAACTCTTCCACTCAATTTGATGTCCATACCTTCTCTCAAAGGCGAGACATCCATGCGTTCATTGTTAAATTGAAAGCACCCATGAAAAACTGGCAAGACTAGTGGCTTTGGGTAAATCACAACTTGGTTGGTTACGGCTATCCTCGGGTGACCGTCTTTTATGACCGGTCACCTCAATTGTTGGGTGCTAGTCTAATTGTGGCGCCAACGTTGTGGGGTATCTACTTCACCGGGGAAGACTGGGAGGCGTTGAGGAGTATCTACTTCACCATGGCATATGCGCTGAGGGGTATCTGCTTCACCGGGTATGCGTCATGTTGTCTTCAAACAAAGCAAGGCTACCGGAAGTGTAGAGGGTCAATTACTTTATTACATATAAATTTGTATATAAGATTAAACCGTCAAACTTTAACAAACTTAAATGCTTTTGTGTAAATATCACTGAGTAATTGAAGAATTTAAATGATCAATTTTTAACAAGCTTGAAGGCTTTTGTGTAAATATCCCTAAGTAATTGAAGAAAAACTATTTTGGAAAGTAACCACAAAATGTAAGCCCTGCGTTTGAGCACGTCCTCGGACTCGGTTGGTGGCGGTTCCTTCTGAAAACCTTGCAAATACACCAAAAACAAATCGGTAGAGCTCTTAACAACTCTTCTCCAATGGAAAATCCCAACTCTAGATCACTCTCCCTCATCCACTCAATATCCCCTTACCCAACTCATTCCAATTCCATCACCGATTTCAATTCGCTCTTCACCCATATCAACACCGTTATCCTGTCATCACCATCATCACGACAACCCTCAACCAATCTCAAATTCGCATCAACATCAATCTCATTAGAAACCTCACAATCTCAATTCGATAAACCCCAATCTCTAAACTGGCTCAAACCCACCACTCGAGGCTCACCGCAGTCTATCGCTCTGTTCAAGACCCTTTCAGTTTTCGAGCGCGCCCTCATCGGCGCCGGTGCCGGCGGAATCGCCGGCGCATTCACGTACGTGTGTCTCCACCCACTTGACACCATCAAAACAAAACTACAAACCAAAGGTGCATCTAAGATTTACGACAACACCCTCGATGCAGTCGTTAAGACGTTTCAAAGCAAGGGAATTCTAGGGTTTTATTCAGGCGTTTCCGCTGTTATTGTCGGGTCAACCGCCTCTTCCGCCATTTACTTTGGGACCTGTGAATTCGGTAAATCTGTGTTGTCGAAATTGCCGAATTTCCCAGCTGTTCTAATCCCTCCAACAGCTGGTGCAATGGGTAACATAATGTCTTCAGCTATTATGGTGCCAAAAGAACTAATCACTCAACGAATGCAAGCAGGAGCAAAAGGTAGATCTTGGGAGGTTTTGTTAAGGATTTTGGAGAAAGATGGCGTTTTGGGTTTGTACGCAGGCTACTCAGCGACATTGTTGAGGAACTTGCCTGCTGGGGTTTTGAGCTATTCATCCTTCGAGTACCTAAAAGCTGCAGTTTTGAGGAAGACGAAACAGCCCAATTTGGAGGCGTTTCAGAGTGTTTGTTGTGGGGCATTAGCTGGTGCCATTTCTGCTTCACTGACTACACCATTGGATGTAATGAAAACCAGGTTGATGACTCAGATTCATTCAGAAAAGATTTCTTATGGTGTTTCTGAAATGGTGAAGCAGATTTTGAAGGAAGAAGGGTGGGTAGGATTCACAAGAGGAATGGGTCCTAGAGTTGTTCATAGTGCTTGTTTTTCAGCTTTAGGCTATTTTGCATTTGAGACAGCTAGACTTACCATTTTGCATGAGTATCTTAGGAGAAAGGAGCTTGATCTTGCTTCTTCTGGAGTTGCCACTTCCACCTAAAGCCTTTCTTTAATGGTAATTTCTGTTTTCACTTTTTCATGAAGTTGCAAATTCATCCAAATGTTTTAATCATTTTATTTGATATGTTTATATAAAGTATTGTTTTCACTAGGCTCTAACACTTATTCACTTTTTTGATGTGTATTCAAGATAATCGAGGAACGTGTGGAAGATGTATGTTTGGAGGAATGATATAATAAAAGGAAGATAGCTTTTTGTATTAGATATATTTGAGATATCTAGATGTATTTATGATGATTATGTAACACACCCAATCATAACTGTTTATTTGCCGATTTGGCTAGTTACCATTTACTTTGTTGACACTTTTTTGAAATGAAATACTTTTTGCAAGTTATTTTTTGAAATTCGTGGTGTTACAAATTGAAATAAATGTTAACATGCAAAATAGTTGGTTGCTAAATCATGACATAAATCAACAATGTTAAATTGTTAAGTAATAACAAAAATAAACAAATGGATTGTTCATTTAAGCAATGTGTGTTACATTATACAACTGCACCTCTGTTTTCCTCCTTGAAAGAATTAAAAATGACATCAAAATCTGTATGAGAAGCCTAAGGAGGTTAAAACTTAAAAGTTTACATGGTTTCCACAAACAAAAGAAACCAAATTACAAAAATCTTTACATTGTAAATCTTCTAAACTCAAACCATATCTCATAATGATTGAACAATAAACTATCATGTGTATGTTTTCCCATATACTCAAGCCCTAAACTTTTCAATCTTTTGCTACATTCATCTCCACCCAATCTTGAACAAAACTTAACATTATGAGACACAAATAATCTTCCATCCAAAGGCTTCAATCGACCTACTAATCTCTCTAATCCAATCCACACAAGCTTATCAGGCATATGAAGAAACACAGCACTCGCATACACTAAATCATACATAAATCCAGACCCAAATCTCACAAACTCCATATCTTCACCTTTCAAGATCAAAGGACGTTTATAAAGCAACCCTTGTGCAGGAAGTTCATACCTAAATGCAGCCATGAGAGAGAGCTCATCTCTTTCTAAACAATGGAAGTGTTCTGGATTCAAGTATCGGATGAAATGTAAGCCAACTCGAAGTGTACCACATCCGATTTCAAGAACACGGGATTCTGGAATCAAGTGAGAGGATTCTGCAAGGAATTCAAATACATCTCTCCCACCAGCCCAGGGTTCTCCATAGTTACTGTGGTGTTGTTCTACTAGGAGTTCACCTGGACATGGAAAGGCTGTGTGGTTCTTTGCTTCTTCCTCTTGTTCGTAATGTGATATCCCTTTGTACCTATAATTGTGATGAAACGAGTCAAGAATAGATCTACTAATTCATATCATCGTGCCAAAAGATTAAGCATCACTGATTTCAATTTGTTGTAGTACACAACTGTTCAATTCGGTTTTAAAAGTGCAGCAATTGCAAAACGAGATGAAAAAGAAGACAGATAGTTGAGTAATTTACTGGATCAAATCCTGAAGCTGTTGGGCGCGAGTACGAGGATTGATACCCTTGCGGAGCACATTATCCTGCATATGCAGTCCATTCACTTCGATCTGGGTCTTCACCCAATCGATGTCATCTTCCGAAGCCGAG